TCTGAAAGTTGAACAATTTATTTATGTTTTATGAGAAGAATTCTGTTACCAATTATTTTTTTAAAAAAATCACACAAAACCATGATGATCTCTAATGGTTCTTGTACCCTGGGCCTAGATAATCTGGAAGATAAAGGAGATCAGCCCCTGGCAGCTGGCCCAAAGCATCCCCTTTCCACTCAGGAATGGGTAAGTAAAGCAGGGCTGCACTCCTTCCCATAGGCTGATAACCCTCCCATGGTTCACTCACAGGGGCAATGGCACTTGCTGTCTGCGAGGTATATGGAGCCAGGGTAGGAAATGAGGTCTTGCTCTGCCTGTCGCCTTCCATTCACAAAGTGATTTCCCCAATGTCACCAGCCACCCTCCCTCGAAGGGTGTGAAGAAGCCAGTGAGACAGAGAGAGCCATCTGCTCTAGACGGCGGAAACTGTGCTAGCAACCGCTATCCCCCTGTAGCCCATGCCTCAGCGAGTCTCCCTCAGAATTTAAGTGAAGTAGACACTGAAGTCCCACCCCTGGCAGAGCAACTGATGTTGCTTTAGGGAGTAAAGGACCTGAGTCACCTCATTCATCCCTATGTTATCCAGAGACGAATGGCTCTTTCCTAGTGTGACCAACATGTGATGGCTTAAGATCACTTACCAGCTCATCTAGGAAAGAACAACTTCAGCATAAAGGTGTTGAGGTACAAGGTGGGAAGAGGCTGGGTTGTGGAGGCCTGGCCACCCTGGCCCTATTTCACGTACTGACCCACTTTCCTCACGTGAACCTGGTGGCCCAGATTGAAAGCTCGAGGGCTTTTCGGCCCTTTGGACTTAGGGCTGTTGACCGAAATTCCTGTTGGTTTTAATTGGAGGGCTGGTGTTTCCTCCCAAGTCACAGAGACTTCACATTCCCATCTCCCTCTACAGCATTTCTGGCACTATTCTCATTTTACATATCCGGATGGAGGAAGCACTGGAGTTCACACCTAATTAAAAGAGAGTGTATTGCCTGCTGTTTCCTTTCTTGTTCATTTTCCCTTGTGCACTGGCAGCTTTTTATTCTCATGCTAAGTCCTATCCCGGACCCCCGCAGCTTAAGGGACAGAGCAGCTGGGTTCCTACAAAACAGAGAGCTGGGCCCTCTGTCACCTATTTCAGCGCAAGCAGGCGTTCCCTTTTGTGCTCCCTCCTGTTTCAGCCCCATCCATATTGTGCTCACCCAAGGAACATAGTAACTTCGAATGCATGATCACTTTCAGAGTAGAATTCCTCGCATGTTTCTAGTGAATGCCATCACAGGCTGCCTCTGTATGTGTACTCCAGTGAAAAGGAGACAGGTTATTATTTTAAAACACTCAAAAACTATTTTTATTCACTTTTTTTCACTGACATCATTTCTGTGTTCATACCACTGTGGGGGTTTTAGGTGTGGTGGCCTTCCCAAGTATGCATCATCTTTGTAAAGTTGTATGGTTTTGTAGAGTGTGAGATTTTTTTCTCTCTTTTTTTTTTTTTGAATAGCCCAAATGCCTATTCAGTGCCAATCTAGGAAAGAATGGAGTCAGCATTTTCACACCATTCCTCCTTATACAGTCTCTGAATAATCATCTAATCAAGATTTGTTTTCAATGGGGACAAATCTTCTACAGTAAAGTATTTCAGATTTATTCCATTAGAATCTATACATTATTGCCCATTGGATGAAAAGGACATGTTTCACAAAAGCCTGGACCTTGCTTTGCTGTGGCAGAAACTTTTTCCCACTGTACTAGTGTTAAAAAATAAAAGAAAGCCTGGGAAAGGAATTGCTTCAGCATTGTGTGCTGGAGGAATGAGGCACACTTGAAAGGAGAAGCAGGGCATCTGTTCCCATTTCAGCAAACCCTCTCAGCCCTTCATGGCTGCTCGCTGCCACGCAGGACCGTGCACTGGAGAGATGTTTGGAAAGGTTTCCCGTAAAAACCCGAAGAGGTTTGTCAGGTTGTATATGAGTGCAGGTTTGAGTTTGTCTCTGTGGTTTTTAATGAAAATGGTGATACCATTATTACTGCAATAATCAGAACTCAGACCATTTAACAGATATTGTGTGTGTGACTACCTCTCCAGTATTACCTTATTGTTTAGATAGACTCAACCACTAAAGTCAAACAAGCAGTTTGAATTTTCCTCATGAAACTGTGTGTGTGTGTGTGTGTGTGTGTGTGTGATATGATAGTTTTTGCTGTTAACCATTTCCATCTCTAAAGTAACCTCCTTCATCCCTTTCATTGTCTATTTCTTCTTCTTTGTACTGAGAACTAGGACAGCCCTCGATCTTTGGCAATCCAAGTTTTTAATATAATAATGGGCCAGGCTGCCCTCAGCCTCCATGTAGCTGACTGTTGCATTCTACTGGGAGCTGTTTGATACTTCCCTCAGAGATAGTGACTTTTTCAGAGACTCAAATAGTTTCAGTGGTTATGGTTTTCCTTAAATGAAAAGAGACCTTGGCAATGTTAACATTGTATTTAGAAAATTCTACCTACATGTTAGTGCCAAGACAAGTTGTTTCACTTCTTGAATTTTTTCATTTATAAACTTAAATATATGTTCTTTATTAGATAACTGAAGCTATATTGAAGTCCCAAGATTTCAACAAAGATGAATGCCATGCTGATTCATAGAGATGTATAGAAATAGCTGGAGGGCATGCTAAACAAACCTTTTCACACAGCTTTACAGCAGCAGTGGACACCAAAGGGTCAGACTTCATTCAGAGGCCAAGCATGCAAAAATAGTTAAGGAGATAAGAGCATGAACTCTAGAACCAGACTGCCTGGGTTCAAATGCTACCTACTGCTTGTTTTACCTTGAGCAAATTTTTTTGTTTTGTTTTGTTTTGTTTTGTTCAAAAGGGCTGACTTTCAATAGATTGCAGCAAGGGAGCTGCTATGAAACCCTGACCCAGAATCAGGTGGTTTACAAATGGTTTAGCACCAGTTGAGCAAATTTCTTAATTTCTCTGGCCTGCTTTCATAATCTGAAAAAAATGGAGCTAATAATACTACCTACATCATAGGGTTCTTCTGAAGATTAAATAAAATAATATACATATAATAGTTATATCAGTAGACAGGATTTCACACAAGGTAATCTCTAAAAAAATAAATAAAAGTTTATTCTTATTATTATCATGGTACAAATGCATGGGCAGGGGGACGGGGGGTGATCTCAGAAAGAGTCTAGAGTTTGGTTGGCTGATTTTTCTCCTGAATATTTCTTCTTGGGTCATTGGAGCCTCCCTTTGGGGCCATATTTTATATTAACACAATTATAGAGGATTCACCATGATTCTTTAATCTGACAAAGATAATGTGTTTTACATGAGTGGAAAAAAAAAATAACAGTATCCTAATGAACTATTTTAGGAAGGAGTAGACCCAATGGAAGTTGTAACAAGAAGCAATTCTCTTCTGTAAAAATTTGTGCAAGTCTTATCACTGAGAGTGAACAAAGAGCCTGTAGGCATTTATTACATTAATTGGATATGTGTGAGGCTGACTAAATGTAAAAATGGACACCAAAGAAATGAATGTCAATATAAAAAGATGTAGTCCCACGAGTGAGGACAGCATGAGGAGATTGAGTGAGGCAAGGTGGAACTTCTAGCTGAGCTCAGACTTCCCTGTGCAAGTCCTCTCTCTTAAGGTAGAGGGAAAAGACCCTGAGGAGCTGTCTGCAGGCTATTACTTCTGGGGTTCTGTCCAACAAGACACAGTGAGCTGGGTCACAGGCCAACAGTCAATAGTACTTGTGCCATCTGGTTTTGAAAGCACACTTACATGGTTTCCCTCTCTCAAGCTGTGTATTCAATCAGGAAGCAAGAATGGGGAATCTGACTGAAGAGTGGTTTGGAGAGTGGATCTGTAGAGCCATTTGAGAGGTAATGGAGAAAAAGAAAGAAGCCCTAAGGCTGATTGTTATAGCCACTTGTTTTCTTTGTCAATCTATGATCCAAATTTCACTAACATTATCCCTCATCTGCACAGCCCCGGGGCATAAAGATGGTGATGAGTCAGGCTGTCCACTGCCTCTCAGAGCTGACCGTTACTTCCTACCAGTAGTGTTTGATTTCCCTCCAGCAAGTACCTGGAGCACCCAGTTACCTAGGATGTTCAGACATCCCACTCCTGGTTCAGTCCTGCTATCCCAACTTATTATTAACAGTGTTCCTTTCACTCTCACAGTGCCCGGATGGAATGGTAAATATGATCACCGAGTGTAGGCCAGTCTCCCAGATCAATGTTGCCATCTCTGTCTGACCTTTTCAACACTCCTTCCTCATTAAGCCTCAGAAAATTCAGAAAATCATCACATTGCATACAGCCACCCTAGAAAGTTCTGTCTGTCAGAGATGACAAGAAAAAGGTCATCGTTAGAATGTTCTGCAGATATAGAAAGTAGCAGGCAAATGCCCCTGAAGCTGGCAGGTTGCATTTTATAACTCATCCTTCTATTGGAAAATGTGGTAACAGCTGTTGGGTGAACATCTTAGTCTGGGTTGACTTTTCCAAGAATCTTTGTATACATGGTGTGGGTTTGGGGACTATGCCACATAAATTAATAGCAAGGAAATTAATTTTTTTTTTACTATGAATATTGTTGTAGTTTATGAATAAAATAAGCAAGTTCGGTAAGTTAGGGAAAATATAAGCTTTCCCAAAGTACATGGACTTGGGCCTGTCCAAAGTAGTACTGTTCCTGGAGAATAAGTCTTCCAGTTCTTAGTTGGATTCAATACCTCAAAATAGCTGGGGCACTGTGGGGACACAATTCAGGGACTTCTTCCCAGAGGACATCATACCTGAAGCGTGACCTCTGTGCAAATCCTGCCCATCTCTCACAGAGCTCTTTTGTGTCTGCCAAGCGGGTGCTTCTAGGAGCCATGAGCAGTTCCCACCGGAGACCCCGGAGTCAGGAAGGCCGTCCGCTAGCTCTGACCCACGCTCTGTTTTGTGTCTGTCTTGCCACGCAGGTGACATCAGTTGCAAGGGGATGACCGAGCGCATTCACAGCATCAACCTTCACAACTTCAGCAATTCCGTGCTCGAGACCCTCAACGAGCAGCGCAACCGTGGCCACTTCTGTGACGTGACGGTGCGCATCCACGGGAGCATGCTGCGCGCACACCGCTGCGTGCTGGCTGCCGGCAGCCCCTTCTTCCAGGACAAGCTGCTGCTGGGCTACAGCGACATCGAGATCCCGTCCGTGGTGTCGGTGCAGTCGGTGCAAAAGCTCATTGACTTCATGTACAGCGGTGTGCTGCGCGTCTCACAGTCGGAAGCCCTGCAGATCCTCACGGCCGCCAGCATCCTGCAGATCAAAACAGTCATCGACGAGTGCACGCGCATCGTGTCCCAGAATGTGGGCGACGTGTTCCCGGGGATCCAGGACTCGGGCCAGGACACCCCGCGGGGCACGCCCGAGTCAGGCACCTCGGGTCAGAGCAGCGACACGGAGTCCGGCTACCTGCAGAGCCACTCCCAGCACAGCGTGGACAGGATCTACTCGGCGCTCTATGCGTGCTCCATGCAGAACGGCAGCGGCGAGCGCTCCTTCTACAGCGGCGCGGTGGTCAGCCACCACGAGACGGCGCTGGGCCTGCCCCGCGACCACCACATGGAAGACCCCAGCTGGATCACGCGCATCCACGAGCGCTCGCAGCAGATGGAGCGCTACCTGTCCACCACCCCGGAGACCACGCACTGCCGCAAGCAGCCCCGGCCTGTGCGCATCCAGACCCTGGTTGGCAATATCCACATCAAGCAGGAGATGGAGGACGATTATGACTACTATGGACAGCAAAGGGTGCAGATTCTGGAGCGCAATGAGTCCGAGGAGTGCACCGAAGACACCGACCAGGCCGAGGGCACCGAGAGTGAGCCCAAGGGTGAAAGCTTCGACTCGGGTGTCAGCTCCTCCATAGGCACCGAGCCCGACTCCGTAGAGCAGCAGTTCGGGGCTGGGGCAGCACGGGAAGGCCAGGCTGAGCCCGCCCAACCTGAGCAGGCTTCGGAAGCCCCTGCAGAAGGAGGTGTGCAGCCACACCAGCTAGAGACAGGCGCCTCCTCTCCAGAAAGAAGTAATGAGGCGGAGATGGACAGCACGGTCATCACTGTTAGCAACAGCTCCGACAAGAGCGTCCTGCAGCAGCCTTCGGTCAACACGTCCATCGGGCAGCCATTGCCAGGTACCCAGCTCTACTTACGCCAGACAGAAACCCTCACCAGCAACTTGAGGATGCCTCTGACCTTAACCAGCAACACACAGGTCATTGGCACAGCCGGCAACACCTACCTGCCGGCCCTCTTCACTACCCAGCCCGCAGGCAGCGGCCCCAAGCCTTTCCTCTTCAGCCTGCCACAACCCCTGACAGGTCAGCAGACCCAGTTTGTGACAGTGTCCCAGCCAGGCCTGTCCACCTTTACTGCACAGCTGCCAGCGCCACAGCCCCTGGCCCCATCTGCAGGCCACAGCACAGCCAGTGGGCAGGGCGAAAAAAAGCCTTACGAGTGCACTCTCTGCAACAAGACTTTCACCGCCAAACAGAACTACGTCAAGCACATGTTTGTCCACACAGGTGAGTGCAGGCCCCTGGGAATCTGGCCGTGGGTGGGTGTGAGGGGACGGTGGGAAGGGAGGGGCAGTACAGCAGGTAGAAGGAAAGATTTGGAATCACATTTCAGATTTTTAAGAAGATGCCACTATCAGCCATCCTTTAGAAGTCCCAACTGTGCCCCCATCATAGGAACAAAGCAACCTGCCACCAAAAGACAAAATCACAGAAACCCTTATGGAGAAAGGCTACAGGGGGAAAAGCCTGATAAAGAATTTACAGGCACAACATCCTTTAAAACATTGAACTTTGACTCAAGATGCTTATAACTGGAAAAGTCCTTGGAGATCCTATACTTTAGTAGTCTCATTTTACAGACAAAGTCATTAGGTAGAGCAGGAATGAGGGTTCTAGTCTGCAGTAAATTCTATATGAACCATTAGCTTGAAGAGGCCACAGCAAGGCTAATGCAGGCTTAAGCTGCATTTGTGGTCCTTGAAATGAAGAGGAGTGATAGACTCACTCTATTATCTATTGCTTATTCTCCATTTCAACATCTAAGACCACAGTCTGTTCTGGGTACTGCCTTTTAAAGGGACAATAGACTAATTCAAAGCAGTGTTACTGGGGACACAAAACCTTAGCATATGAATCACAGTTGAAAGGACTGGGATGCTCAGACTGCAGAAGGCTTGGGGCATCATATAAGCCATCCTCAGTCCAGCTTCAGGGACAGCATAATGAGGTAGTTAAGCTGAAGCTCTGGAGCCAGATTGCTTCAGTTTGAATTTAGATTTAGTGTCTACTGAACTTGTCACCCTCGGAAAATTACTTAACCTTTCTATACACCAAAGCCCTTGTCAATATCATGGCAATAGTAGTGATAGGTATTTAATTTAGTGCTGTTTTTAGGGTCAAATGAATTCATCTGTAATGCAGTTATTAAAAATAATTCCTAACCCATAAGCATGCTATAAGTGATAGCTGTTGTTTGCACTATTAAGTTTATGTAAGTTGTTGGGAGGGAAGAGAGGAAGCTTGTTTTGTTTGGGGCCAAAAGGTAGAAATGGACCAATGACTGGAAACAATAAGGAGATTCTTTCCACAAAATAATATGGCTGTTGACAGTCAGAGCCGCTCTAAGATGGGTTAGACAGCATCCAGAGGGAGTGAGTTCCTACAATTATTAGATGTGTACAAGGAGAGAATGGATGATCATTTCCTAAGGATGTTGTATTGTAGAAGCAATTCAATCATCAGGTGAGTAGTTGAACAAGATGGTATTTCATCCCTGGATTCTGATTCTAGAGCTAAGATCTGGCCTCCAAGCTTTCCTAGCTCCATAATGGGACAGACACAGAAGCAGGAACCATTAATATCTTCCATATTAGGGACTATATATGTGATAAGATTTCTCATATAGTCTCTTATCCCTAAAAATACCTTTTCCAACCATGATCACTATTTTTGAAATTCTGCTTATGAGAATCCTCTTCTGGTAAACCTGTGGTTCCAGAATATCCCTGTTAAATGATAAATATGTTGCCAGAGAAAAGTTACACATTGAATTACATACAATACATGAAATCAAATTAGTTTCTCAAAGCAACCTTGTTTCTCAGATCAGCTAGCAAGAATAACCAGAGCAACAGACACAGAAAAGGTGCACAACAAGGAAGAGAGCAGCTACACTAGAGCATTAAAGTGAACTTTTCCACTTCTGCAGTTCAACTTAAGTCAGGACATCATGTACGGACCTTTATGCAAATGAGTTGTTTTTAAAGGTGACAGTTTTCACACCTCCTAAAGAACATACTGATGCACTGCTGAATTTAGGGAGAAAATCAGGTAGTAGTGAATCATGATGTTTACTTGGGGTAATGTGAATGCACTAATATCCTGAGATCAACCAAGGAAATTTTTCATGTGGTATAGTTATCATCATTATTTGGTAAATTAATCAAATAGTAATATTTTTATTTATGTGGCAATTTATGGTTTACACTGTACTCTCACATAGTTTATGTTCTTTCCTTTTCTAAATAGCTGTCTTATAAACTAAGGATTAAGGGCAAAAAGAAACCATTTGTGGAAGTTTCTTCTTAGCCAAACTTGACTTTGCTGGTCTTGAATAAACATTTTGATTCTCTCCTTCTGTGTGTCTCTTCCAGTAGACCTAGCAGAGATGAAATTCACACATTTTTGTAGATCACATATTGAAATAAGGCTTTAAATTTGCAACATAAAAATTTTAGTGTACTACCAAAAATTGTCTTTTCGATGCATAAACACATTTATCCAATGGATTCACCAGAGGATTCTGTGGTTAACCCAAATAACTAGATTTGCCCATAAGAAAACCAGCAATGGGTTTGCACATTTATGCATCATAGGTTCAAAAGCTACAAGTAAAATCATTTTATAAATCTAAGTAATGCTTAAAGTATAGCCTTTTGATATGTAGTAGACTATGAGAGTCTTCAGTAAATTATGAAGGTGTTTGTGTTGTTGTGTATAACTTGGCCACATCTGAGAACAATTAATAATGTTCATATTCACTCTAGCACCTCATTTAAAAGAAACAACACTCTTCTCTTTCATCCCAGAATTACTTGGCATGTCAGTTTGCAAGGACCATCTATCTATCAAGACTTTGTCTCACTGAAGGAGAGAGACCATAACCTAACTAACAAAGTTTAAGAATAAGTGGTCTAGATTTTCAAAAGACAAGGCAGCCTGGTCTATGGAAGTACTGCAGGACCTGGGATCCCTGTGGCCCATATCTTAAAACAAAGTTCTTTTAAATTTCTTGGGAAAACATCACAAAAGTTGGGCCTCCCAACTTCACAGAAGCCCAGTAGAAATGATAAAAATTTAGAGCAAAAGGTCCAAATGTTGGTCTAGAAGGACTCCAGAAAGTACTGGGGATACCTGGCAGAGTAGGAATGGATTCGGTGTTCTTACCTATAGTCTAACGGAAAAGAATCCTGCCAATAAATAGTATTAACAGAGCTCAACGAGAAGCAATGTGGGCCCTTGGCACCACAACTCTGTGCATGGTAACTGGCTTTGCATTTCAGTAGCTCCAAGGTTTAGTGTAAGTGATACTTGCTTTCAACGACTGCAGAAAATCAATTTTGAAATTGGATTCCAAGTAAAATTCTGTGTAGCTGTATGTTAATGATCCACATATTCATTGAAGTGTTTGAGACAAATAAGTAGTGTATGGTATTTACTTTGGAGTAAAGCTCTACCTTAGAGAACCAAAGAAATCCTGGTTATAAAGCATATTCCAAAATGATTATAATACTAAAACATAGAGTGAGGACATAAGTGAAAGATGATTGTACTGGAATTAGATTATTTGGGTTGAGTTTGGTTTCTCTAATTGTGGCCTTACGCAAGCCACTTAATTTCATAACCCTCAGTTTCTTTGAGTTTAAAATGGAAATAATAATTTGCCTGCCATTTGAGTAGCTGTAAAGGTATGATGCATGGGAGAGCTTTTCATGAAAGGTAAAGTACTACTTAATGTTTAAAAAGATTATCATCATTATTACTTTATCCCCTCCTCCCAGGAGACATTAAGTTTCTTTGCTCTGTATCCAACCTCTGAATAATAAGCTCTCGACATGTTTCCTTCCTCCATGGAATTCAAATTCTGAGGCAATGTGATACTCCTTGGGTTTCCCTTAAACTGCCTTCATAAAATGAACATTTTTCCCCTAATTTATTAAGGGTTATTTTATGAGTAAAAGAAAATCTCTCACCTAATTGCTCTTTCTTCTGCCAAACAAACCATAGTAGGACTTCATCTCTTCTAGGAGTTCCTCATTTTACAGCATCTTTAAAAATATGTGAGGAAAGACACCAAGAGTTAAAAGAGAGAGAGAGAGAGAAAAAAAAAAGATAATACAAAACATTCTTCTATGGAACAAAGCAGGACTCCTCTATGCTTCCTCCCAAGAGAAAAAACAACAACAACAAAAGTCAGAGGAATTGGGAATGGAAAGGAAAGACTGGGGACATGGAAGTGTCAGTGTGGATTGGAAGGCAAGCAACAGGGAAAATTCAAGGATAACTTTGGTTCTGGAAGTGTGAGCCCATGCCAGCCACATGCAAGTTCTCTGGTCCAACCCAGATCTATTTACATCAGAACTTCTGGGAATGGGACCCAGAATCTGTTTTAATGAGCCCTGCATCATAAATTCAGAATCACTTCCCTAGGTGGTCCAGGGGTGATCAAGAGGCTGACATCTGGATGCTTTTGTTACACAGTATTGTTCTCTAGAATACTGCTCATAAGAATCCATGTGTTTGGAAAAGGTAACATGGAGTTAGGGATAGCAGCTTGACTTCACTATGTAAGCAGGTATCTCTCATATGAGATGTAAGCTAAGTTTCTCAAACTGCCCAGGTACCGTGGCACAAGTACTCCTTCTGCCACATCATAACAGACTGACCTGTTTTTCCGTGATGTGGGTGTCTTTACACCTTCACACTAGAATGTAAACTCTGTGAGAACAAAACAACATATATATCTATATATATCTATATATATATCTTATACTCCAAATATACTCAGCATAATACTTTATCTATAATAATCTATAATAATAAAAGCATAATATGCTAATTAGACTGGACATACTTCCGTGACAACCTTCTGGATGAAGCCAGGGCTTTGAGGGAAGCCTGGGTCCCAAGTGCTAGAGGGAAGCTGGTGCTGGCAGCTGGAGAAAGGAAGGTCTACTCTTGCACAAATTTCTTGCATTGAGCCTCTAGTAGGCAATAAACATTCAACAAATATTGATCAATGAGTGAATCAAATTCTTCTCTGATAATGTCTAATCATTTCCAAGAGGCCTGGCGCATGAAATTCGTGCACGGGTTGGTGTGTCCCTCAGCCCAGTCTGCACCCTCTCCAATCTGGGACCCCTCGAGGGATGTCCAACTGGGACCTAAACGGGCAGTCGGACATCCCTCTCACAATCCAGTATTGTTGGCTCCCAACTGTTTACCTG